GCTATTTGGTGTCTGGTAAGAGCCGGCTCCCTAGTTCCTAGTTCCGGTCTGCGTGCTGTGTCCTCACATGATGCGAAGGGAAAGGGAACTCTCTGAGGCCTTTTCTATGAGGGCACTAATCCCGTTCATGAAGGCTTATGACCTAGTCATCTTCCAAAGACCCCCAAATACTACCACATTGGAATTACGTTTCATCATATGAATTCTGGAGGAATACAAACATTTAGTCTACACATTGTGGGTTAGTCAGGCAGTCTGGCAAATCCCCCAGCTGCCTCGGTAAGGCAGGGTTTACTAGGGCCCAAGTCTGCCCTGGCTGATGTGGAGGTTCAGAGCTGCTTCTCTTTTAGGCCTGAACACCCAGCCTTGGTTACGTCCCCACGCATTTGCCTACTGTCTTTAGTGGGAAAGGGAGGGGGCCTGTGGGAGGGTTCACCTAGTTATTTATTTATTTAATTTTTAAAATTAACGTATGATTGATATACACTCTTATGAAGGTTACACATGAAAAAACAACGTGGTTACTACATTTAACCATATTATCAAGTCCCCACCCATACTCCAATGCAGTCACTGTCCATCAGTGCAGCACATTGTGACAGATTCACTATGTGCCTTCTCTGTGCTACACTCTTATCCCCGTGATCCCCCACACATGTGTACTAAACATAATACCCCTCAATCCCCTTGTCCCTCCTTCCCCACCTGCCCTTGTCCACCCCTCCCCTTTGGTAACCACTAGTTCATTCGTGGAGTCTCTGAGTCTGCTGCCATTTTGTTCCTTCAGTTTTGCTTCATTGTTATACTCCACAAATGAGGGAAATCATTTGGCATTTGTATTTCTCCACCTGGCTTATTTCACTGAGCATAAAATCCTCCAGCTCCATCCATGTTGTTGCAAATGGTAGGACTTGTTTCTTTCTTATGGCTGAATAGTATTCCATTGTGTATATGTACCACATCTTCTTTATCCATTCATCTACTGATGGACACTTAGGTTGCTTCCATATCTTAACTATTGTAAAAAGTGTTGCAATAAATATAGGGGTGCATATGTCTTTTTCAATCTGAGAAGTTGTATTCTTTGGGTAAATTCCAAGGAGTGGGATTCTGGGGTTCAAATGGTATTTCTATTTTTAGTTTTTTGAGGAACCTCCATATTGCTTTCCACAATGGTTGAACTATCTTACATTCCCACCAGCAGTGTAGGAGGGTTCCCATTTCTCCACATCCTCACCAACATTTGTTGTGCTTAGTCTTTTCGATGCTGGCCCTCCTTAATGGTGTGAGGAGATACCTCATTGTGGTTTTAATTTGCATTTCCCTGATGATTAGTGATGTGGAGCATCTTTTCATGTGTCTGTTGGCCATCTGAATTTCATTTCTGGAGAATTGTCTTGTTATATCCTCTGCCCATTTTTTTTAATTGGGTTATTTGCTTTTGGATGTTGAGGCATGTGAGTTCTTTATATATTTTGGATGTTAACCCCTTGTTGGATATGTCATTTACAAACATATTCTCCCATACTGTAGGATGCCTTTTTGTTCTGTTGATGGTGTCCTTTGCCATTCAGAAACTTTTTAGTTTGATGTAGTCCCATGAGTTCATTTTTGCTTTTGTTTCCCTTGCCTGAGGAGATGCATTCAGGAAGAAGTTGCTCATGTTTATATTCAGGAGATGTTTGCCTATGTTGTCTTTTAAGAGTTTTATGGTTTCATGACTTACATTCAAGTCTTTAATCCATTTTGAGTTTACTTTTGTGTCTGGGGTTAAACAATAATCCAGTTTCATTCTCTTGCATGTAGGTGTCCAGTGTTGCCAACACCAGCTGTTGAAGAGGCTGTCATTTCCCCATTGTATGTCCATTAGCCCATTATTTAATTATTCTAGAGATACTCCAAAACTCAGGTGATGAGATAATTTATTGTCCAAACCAAGAAGGATACTTTTGAGAGTGAGAGGGGAACTTGTTAATATTTTGCCAAGACAGTAGGCATGAACTACACTGTCACCCTATCTCTAACTGACTCTCAACCTTTATATTTATCAGCTGAGTTTGGAACTTATTTGCGTGGACCACTCTTCTAATTCTTTTGGCTAGAATTGTTCTCATCCTTTTTTTCTTTTTGTCGAATCGATCCCATCTGACTTCTATGTTATTTTCTAGGCTTCTTTAAAATTTATGAACCTCTGCTAGTCCCCACTCTTGTTTTCCAGCACTGTTACATTTTTCTTCTTTTAAGAAAACATGTTTCTGTGATTTCAGTGGGAACTTACAGCGAAGGGAGGTAGAAGGACATGTTCAGTGTGCTATCGTGAACTGGAAGCTTTTTTATTCTACTCTAAACACATCCTGGCTTACTGTATTTTATACATCCTTGAGTATAACTTTACTCTTTTATGAAACCAGAGAAATTCAGTGATAACAATTCTGCAGGAGTGACCTTACACCAGGAAATCACACATCCATCGGTGAGGACTTTCCTTTCATTACTTTCACATCTGGTAGGATTCCAGGATGCAATGAAATATTAGGCATTATATTATTGAACTTCTGAGCAATTCTCAGTGGGGGTTGTTCATGGGGGATTTGTTTTCAGCTTCCCCTTATTGCCAAGAGAGATTTCTATTCCTTCACACACTGTTATAGCACATGGAAGAATGTCAGTTGCTAAAAAGACAATTCAGACCTAGCATAGCCAGGTTCAAGGCAAAAAAAGTGTAGGGTCTAGAACCAAATTGAGAGTTTTGCAGAGTTTAGTGAAGGGATGGAAAAATCTGTCAGAATTTATCCATGAAGACTCAGTATAGAAAAACAATCTTACTGGAAGTATATAAGCAAAGATGAAGGCTTAAATGATAAGAACTTGGAAGAAAAGAGGACTTCCTAACTCTAACAAGGTCTCATGGGACAAGAGTTAATGTGGACATCCAGAAGAGGTTCTAAACTCTTGTAGCACAGAAATTACTCCTTTGGCCACTTTAGGAAAGGGCTATTCTCAGTCCCTGGGGAGGGTGATTACATGGAGACACTGGACAGGAGTCAAGATCCTGGTGTTTGGAGTAAAATTAGATACAGAACCATAGAATTCTGCACTTGGATGTGCTTCATATAAATGCGAAATTTAGGAATGATCATCATCTGAATGTATACGATCTAAACTAAAGCCAATTCATATACAAGTAGCATATCTGATTTTTGATTTACAGCTGCCAGTGGGACAGGTTCACCTTTGCTAGAAGGTAACCTTTGGTTACCTTTGCTAGAAGAAGAGAACCCCTTCCCCCCCTCCCAATAGCATCCATTGTTTTCCTGCCGGCAGTGCTACTATGCCTGGGTTAAGGTAGGGATGTATAAACAAATCATCCAGCGTTTTAAACTTTTAAGTTCCCTCACCCTCCAAATGCCATTTTGGGCCTTGATATTTTTGCTCTTTGTTAGGTAATCAGCAAAAAAGAGAGGGTGGTGCTTTTATAGCCAGGGTTTGAAATGTTTCTTTCTGGGGATGCTTCCTGGTAGGTTCTGGACCTCAGTTACACCCTGTCTGAGCAAACCCACTCAGGTGTTGTCATCTGGGGACAGCATCTAATATTGTTCTTATTAGCAATTAGGTGAGCTAGCCTGGAGAACAGGGGCAATCCGAGGACCTGACGGTGTTAGATGCGTGAGAAGGAAGCCATGGTAGGTGGATGTCAAACAGACAAACATTGCAAATGGTAGTAACCCAACCATAACCGAAGACATTGTAGTGTTTATCAGGAGCAGTCCTCAGAGGTGAGCTTTGTACCTAAGAACTGAGCCAAAGGGGCTGTAAAGACATGTAGATTCCTCTTGGTCTTTTGGGAAAAAGTGGCCAGTTCTTCTAATTGGTGGTGCCTGGCATATGGGGTTGGGGAGCAGGTGATAAAATATGTTCCTTTCTTCTTCCCTCCCTCTTCATCTCCTTTGTCTTTCTCACATCCCTTCTACAGCCAGCTCTTCTCTTTCGTCTTCCTCTTCCTTTCCTGTCCCCAGCATGTGCTTTCAAATTACTTTCCACCCTCCAGTCTCCTATATCTCTGTGGTTGCATGTACCTTCTCTAAACTCAGACTCTTACCACTATCTCTATACATTTTACCATCTGTCACTTACCCAGTTGGAGAATTGGGATTAAGGGGACCCCAGTGAGATGGTTGAGTCACTTGCCATGAGAGCCCAGCACTGATAGCTGGTGGTTACTTTGCTGCTGTTCTTCCTAGAGCTTTCAATATTCCACCACCGCACTTTTGTCAACTCTGGATTCAGTAAACATAGAGCAAGAACTTGCTACCCTTACTACAAAAACATGCTCTGCTGGGTTTCTAGGCACTGTTTTTTCTTTCCCTTTGCAAATTTTAATTTCTGCACTATCATGATCTTTGAGTTTGTTATCTGTATTGGTGTTTGCATTTGCTTCCAGAAGATATTCTGTATTTTGACTACTTCCAGCTCAGGACATGTCTTAGTATACTGATAATGTGGAGTTTCCTTTCACTATTCCTGGGTTGTTTAGAAATATCACCTTTGACTCTCTGAGTGTAAGAAGTCAATGACCTCACTGGCTGCTTCAGTATGGTTTTGTTTGGCTGTTATATTTTTTGACTTTTTAGAAAAAAAAATCTCTTTTCAAGGGCAACATTTGAGTTTCAGCAGCTCTGTCTCCTTTAGGAAGGACTTGAAGTTAAGAGAAAGGGTCTTTGTAGAGCTATAGGGATATAGAAATTGGAGACACATAATGTTTTATTTTATGGCTGGCATCAGAAAAACAATGAGAAACATTTCAACTTTCCATTTTGGGACTTTCCAACAGATGTTCCAACATTTAGGCTGGAAAAAACCAATGCCCTTCAAATTTCAAAGGAAAGAATTCTTGCAACCTTGACAACAATCAGAGTAACCTAAGTGATGTTAGCTTAATGAGTTGTATGTTTCCTTGGGTAGAAAATTAAATTTCATACCTGATTTCTCTTTCTCTTTAGAAGTGGAACGGATTGTAAAAGCCAATGACCGTGAACATAATGAAAAGTTCCAGTACGCAGTGAGTAGAACACACACAGCACATGCATGCTGGGGTCGGTCTTACCTGAAGGACAGTTGGATTCATGCCTTCACCAAAAAGTTCCTTTGTTGGCCCATTTTAGTAGCAGGGTGCTGTATGTTTCCATAAATACAGGTATTAGTAATGTTTATGTGCTTATTTCTCTCCTGCACTAGAAGTGGTATGTTATATTGTTTGATATGGAAATATCCTCTTTCTGTTTTTTTTTTAATGTGACAAGAAAGGTTATTTGATATAAGACAGTACATACTCAGACAGGGGTACAGGCATCCTCAGAGAGGAGGTGTGCTTAAGGGCTTAGGATTCTGTCTTAGAAGGCTTTCAAGAATGGGGCAAAGGGTGGGTGTAGGCTTGACATGTGGTCTCATGATGTCTGTCTCCAGTGAGGGACACTGTGTCATCATCCGTCATCTGTCCTTTAGATATTCTGTAAGATAAACTTAACACAAGGAATTTCTTGATCCTGTCCTACTCCAAGATAGTAGTTACCCT